CTTCGACGCGATACTGGGTCGATCATTAATCACGTGACCCAAACCGCGTTACCCTCTATTTTCTTTCCCTCTTACAGAGTAAAGAAAGCAACCAACCCAATGACGTACCTGTGGAGACGCAACCACTGTGTGAAATGATCGGACTGCATCGAAGAACCACTGGACGAAGAAAGAGGGATCAAACACCTACGCAACGGAATAAGCTAGAAACTGGATGGCATCAACAGCTTATCACCGGTTATATCAAGGCATGGCATAACCCAATCAGAGGAATGATCTTATGAAAAGAATGGAGGAATGTCAAAAGAGAACGTGTATAACGACACCTGCGACAAGAAGAAAAGTAGGGATAGGAAATTTCCAAATCTAGAATCCAGACATTATCATCACTTTGCCACTTGCTGCAATAAATCCTGTCACAACCTAACTGATTAGGATATCCTAAAAGAAAATTGGAATGGGTTAGACAAAAACTTTACACTGATAGCACAAGCTGTAATGGAGAACTCACCATACTAACGACTTATATTAAGCCCGACAGAGATAACCTGCTTTATAACCTACTAAGAACAGATATTTTCCAATAAAACACCGCGATCGATCCGCCAGAGTTGAATCTTCTGCGTGGTACGCATAAGATAAGCGTGAGCAATGTAACATTGAGAAATGGAACGCGACTACAATCACGTGACTAATCACCATGAAGGTGTCGCAGACCTGTTCTAATTGTAGTACTTGAGGTGGTATAACAAAGTATATAAGCAAGGAGCAGGTGGGATGGATAAAGTGATAATATGGAGGCGTGTAAGAAAAATTAGATAACAAGAAGAGGATTGTGAACAATCATTATTATGTAATAGAAGAGAAATGCAAAACCTTAGATAATCAAAGTTGTTCCAATTTAAAATGTATAAAAAGATGTAAGCAAAAGTAAATAAAGGACAATGAATTATCTTTCTACTCAGCCAAATTGAACACGCCTAAAAACTATTAATATAAACTACCTTTCTGACAATTATGCGACACTCTGCCCCAGGTTAGCGATGGACTCGCCAATTGACCTTCACAGTATGTATTTTCCCAGAATTCAGTAGCATTATTACATCTTGCACTATTGTTCTTAGAATCATATATAACAGCTTTATATAGTAAGTTTTCATTATATTCTCCGAGATCCTGTTCAATTAAACAATATATTTATTTTTCTTAGGTACATAACTTTTCTTGCTATGATTTCCTTTTCCTTCCAACAAATTTTATCAGTTGGTCTTGACATTCTAGCTCTGGATCATCATTAAGGTAATAATGTTTTCATATTTCGCTT